ACCTACTGAAGAAATAAAAAGTTGTCATTTAAACTTTGTGATTTCTTCCAGTATATCATGTGTGAAATGATCCACAGGATCCTTCTTTGGAAGTATTGATACTGCTAGATCCAGTCTCACTGTGAAGTTAATGCAGGTTAGATTTTATTTTTCAATTCAGAAAGATGAGAGAGTAAAACAGTATGCAGCTACATAGAAAATCAACAAACTCCCATATATTCTTGAAGAAAAGAACCCATATATATAGAGAGTAGATAATTGCGAGTTGGGAGAATTCAAGACATAACTTTAGAGGTCAGACAATGATAAAACATTTCAAAGGCGCAGTAGACAACATTATACAACAAAAGCGACCTTAAAAACGAAACTGCTGAGGGAAAAGAAAAAGAAGTTTGTTCAATACACTGAATACCACATATAGAGATAGAAGAGGGTAATCCGTTTAAGAAGCTGAGTTTAGTAACCATTCTATCATTGCCGTGTACCGAAAATTGAAACTTGAAAGCTACACTTAAAGCTTTTGAAATGCTTACTGCAGGAAGGAAGAATGCGGGGTCAAGCTTTTATTACATTTCCATCAGTTGAGCTTGCTCAGAATGCTTTGGTATGTCTTCTGAATTTAATTTAATTTATTTTTCTTTTTCTTACATGTATTAAGTTATGGTATTGTATGATTCTCTTTCTATTCTTATTTTATTTACATTCGTGATTAACTTCTTAAAGATTGCATCCATGCTACCAACTTGGTGGTGTGTGCAACTACTCTTGTGAAATTAATTAATTAATTAATTATGATGTACCATAGGGAACACAAACTAGTGATCCTACTTTATCACAATAAGCTTATTGAAGTTGCAAATTACATTTTGATGTTTTTGAAACAATAAATACATAACTTTAGATTCCTTGTACAGTAATACTCCATATTATATTGAAGAGTAAATGATCATGGCTTCCAAACTTAATTTTGCTTAGTAATTGATATTGTGCATGAGATCTTGAGGTTCTTCATCGCCTGCAGTGTGCATGAAAAACTTTTAACAGTGAGGGCATTCTTACGCCCCCTTTGGGAGAGCAGTGATTTTGGAGTGATTAGAGCGATGATGTTGAGATTGGAGTGATTAGAGCGATGATGTTGAGATTGGAGTGGTGAAGTGTGTATGGAAAAACAGCGATGGCAATATTATGAGTATTAAAAACAATAAAACATATAAAAATATATACATAATATAGAGAAATTTTGTATATATTTGCTCGCAATATAATCATTTAAATATATTTTCATATAATAAATTTTATGTCAATAAATTTATTTTGTTTATTTGAATTAAAAACTTCTAATAAAAAGAGTAGCAGAAGTGCAGAACCCAAATGTTCTGTGTTCAGAACCACCCCTTCACCGCCCCCCCCCCCCCCCCCCCCCCCTTTCTTTTTTTAATAACAAGGGATAAGGTTTCAACCGGTCCTTCCAAATGGGGCCATAGTGAGTGAATAGGACTATAGGAAATGTGATGTGAGCAATATCAATAGTTGATGATTAGCAAGAAGCTGTGATATTACCCAAAGCATGTGGACAAATTGGTCTTTGGATTGTTCTGAGTTGTGTTGTCAATAAGGCACCTTACCTGCATCTTTCCTAACTCCATATTATCTCTGAAACTCTAGAATTTGATTGATGTTACAACCCTATCCATATTTTAGCTGGCTGTCAATTTGTTGTACTTGTATTCCAAAACCAGTTTATGGTGTGTGTTGAACTCTTTCTAATGCTTATAGTAAACAATGACTGCAGAACCTGGTGAATGGATACGTGTTTAAAGGCAAGCCCATTGTCATTCAGTTTGGCCGTAATCCTGCTACCGCAACTAGCTAATTAGAATTGCAGACTGTTCGCTATTTTCCTCTAAAAGAAGCTCACTGAAATTTAGAGCATTGCCTTCAAGACTTCAATGCCAGGTATACATCGCAGTTATGACCCACCATTGTTGCATTTGGCTAACTTTTATTGAGTTAAGTTACATCATTTTGATGTTAATTTTGTTGAGCATATGATCGTCCTGTTTGGTAAATAGTTGTTAGCTGATTGTGTTAATTAGAGGGTATAACTAGTTGATAACATTAGCTGTTATAGAAAAGTATTTGATAAATTAGCTGTTAGCTGATAGCTGTTTGGTATGATTTCTTTTCTAAAAAAGTTAATTGAAAAAGTTGCTTGGAGTAGCTTTTTGAATTTTAGCATTTTGGAGTTGCAAAACGCTAATTAACCAAACACTTATTTTGATATTTTAACTAAATCAAACAATTAATAGTGATAAAAAAAAAAAAACCAAAATTGGCCTATAGGCTAATTATTTTACCAAACAGGGCCATATAAACGTGCAATCCAATTATTAACTTAGGCTTTTAGTTGAGATCGAGCATGCTTCAGTTTGGTAGTAGAGTCATCCCCATGCCAAAGGTCATGAGTTTAAATCTCCGCTCTGGAATTTAGCTTGCATTTTCTCGAATGTAAATTCAGTTGAATGAAGATTTCCGGCGTTTGTGGGGGAGATTCCAGCGAGCTTCTGGCCAAATGATGAAGACACGCGAATACGTTGCAGAGATGATGACAAATACTAGAGTCCGCCATGTCCGATAAAAGAAGCTTCATGCCGACAAGCGGTTTCTGCCTTTTAAACAAACACACCTTGCACATTTTATGTATAACCTTGTTCATAGATTATGGTCCAGTGTTTTGTGTTTGGATTGGGGAGAAACATTTTGACAGATTTAGTACATTATTATCATGTCTCATGCCGTATGTAAAAATATGTTAATTTCTGGTGAATTAATTGTTCATTTTAAGGATATATTGAACATTTTCATTCAAGTTGCTGTATTTAATGAAAGGATAAATGGTCAAATATGTTTCTTCTACGTTATACAAAGCCATTTAGGGGGCGTTTGGTTCAGGTTATATAACATAACCAAGGGAATGTGACATTCCAAAGCTCACATTCCGGTGTTTGGTTCATATTATCTTAGGGAATCTGACATTCCCAAGGAATGTCATATTCCCTCCACATAGGATTTTGAAGGGAATGTGATTCCCTTCAAAATCTTAGGTAATGTAAGATAACCTTGGTTATCTTAAGGATATTATAGTATGTGTAAAAGATAACCCTAAACCAAACATGATTATATTACATACCCCAATTTTAGCCAAACACAGGAATCTAACATTCCCAGTAATCTAATATCCCCAGCAATCTAACATCCCCTAAGGTAATCTGACATTCCGTGAACCAAACGACCCCTTAGATTTAAATATAATTCTGCAAAATTTAAAAATTAATGAAAGGATAATTCGAAAAAAGTTTGGGAATAATAGTTTGAAAATAGTTCGACTAAAAAAGTGTTGGCAAAAATACTAGGCTTCTGTAAATTGCGAGGTGTCTTTTTTTTTTTTTTTTTTTTTAAGCAAATTAATGTGGTTAGATAAACTGAAATAGAGTCAAGCGGGACAACGTTTCAATACAACAATGTTTCAATACATAGCCAATTCTCTGATTTAAGAATAAAATTAATTGAGCAGAAATCAAACGTAGATATGCAAGCCTGGCAACCATTAATAGCATAACCAATCATTAATAGCATAACCAGAAATCAAACGTAGATATGCAAGCCTGGCAACCATTAATAGCATAACCAATCATTAATAGCATAACCAATATAAGATCGAGAATCGAGACGGAGCTCCTGGCGAAGATGGGTAGCACTAAATTGTATGACAATCTATAGACTGTTCTTCACGAGCCCTTGGCCATGACAATGCCTTGAGCAGAAATCAAACGTAGATATGCAAGCCTGGCAACCATTAATAACATAACCAATATAAGATCGAGACGGAGCTTCGAGACGGAGCTCCTGGCGAAGATGGGTAGCACTAAAGTGTATGACAATCTATAGACTGTTCTTCACGAGCCCTTGGCCATGACAAGGCCTCTTTGCACGCGAATGCTTCGGCCATAAGTGGGGAGAAACAACTCGGGAGGGAAGCGCTGTAGGCCGAAACATAGTGTCCTCATGTATGATTTCACACATAGCACAAATCAGATCAACATCTACCCTCTTTATAAGCAAATTGTTGGTAGTAGGAAGGATATTACTTATAACCCTACATAGAAAGGTCTTCCATTTGGGTGAGATTTTAAGCTTCCATAGGGTAAGCCATTTATCAAAAGCACCATCATTATTATTCTCATAATTCCCAACAATGAGCCTGTAGCCATTTTTAACAAAGTAGCAACTGTTAGGATCCCTGTACATTTTATTCACAAGATCTTTTACGATCTTTTATCTCTTTGATTGATCAAGGTCTTTCAACAAAGTGATTGGTCAAACTAAATCTTCTAATAAAATGTTCAATCGAACCAATTGAACCTTCCAATAAAATGATAATCATCGATTAAACCAATTGAGTTAATTTAATTTCTAGTAACATTTATGTGAATCACATGAAGATGCTTTTAACTAAATGCCTCTAAAAGTGTTGATGTTATCCAAAAGTATATCCAAGAGACTTTGTCTTCACTCATTTGCTACTTATTAGATGATAAGATAAGATGAGAGGTTTAAAACACGATTCAAATATGTTAAAACATTTCACCCGGGATACATGTGACTATATAAGCTTATCGGTAAATCAAACAAAATTACGTCAATGATTAGGTGGAGACGTGGCAGTCATCGCGACACTGGCGGATGCTACCAGACTACACATATCCACATTATCCATTTATCTAAACCTTATTTTTCGTAAATTACGAATTCCATTTATCTAAATCTTATTTTTCGCAAATTACGAATTATCCACTCTCCTATCTCTACTTTTGCGACACGTGGCCAAAGATCTTGTGAATGCCCGAGTGGACAACCATTTGCAACCGTTGGATATGGATACCATTCAACCGACAAGTCAAAAGCGCCTCACAAAACATGAAAACAAGGACAAAAGGGAAAAGGATAAAGTGAAGATTGAAGAAGAAGAAGAAGAAAGGAAAAGGGCGAAGGGTTATAGCTTTCTTTCTTTATCGGAAAACAATTTTTTTTTCAATTCTCAACTTTCTCGAAATCGGGATTTTGGAAATCACCGAACGATTCATCCATGGCGGGAGTAGTTAGCAAGGCGGCCGGCGTCGTGTTTTCGCCGTCGAGTACCGATCATAAATCGGCGGCTCGTCGTTATAGTCAACACCGAGTTTGTACTTTCCCAAATGGATCTCTTGTTTGCTCCCGCGCGTGTTCGGATGCTCAGTCTCTGAAACTCTCGTGCGGGGCTCCGAATTCACCGAGCACCGATTTTTATGGTCGCAGAGTAGCCACCGGAACCCTGCTTTTCCCAGGAAATGGCCGAACACAGGTCCGATAACTCTTCAATTTTGTAATTTTTTTTTGAAACTTTCACCTCTTTAAACTATTCTGATTGTTTTCAAATATAAATCTTTGTTTTGAGTCTCAAGTGTAAATCAGTGCGGTTCTGATCAATTGGGCTTGAAATTAATCATCCTTAGATCGATATGGAAAATTTTTATGGTTTAGTGAAGTTGATCTAGTGGATTAGAATGTTGTTAAGATTCATGACGTGTTTATCTGCAGATGAGCATTGGAATTGCGAAAGCTCAAAGATGGTGGGAGAAAGGGCTTCAACCCAACATGAAAGAGGTTGTGAGTGCTCAAGACCTCGTAGAATCTCTTTCAAATGCCACTGATAATTTGGTGGTGGTGGATTTCTTTTCCCCTGGTTGTGGTGGCTGCAAAGCCCTCCATCCTAAGGTACAATCATGTTTTTCTTGATGTTGTTCCATAATGTTTTTGTACATGAATGGATTCGAGATCATAAAATGGTTCAGAGTAATTGTTTTCCTACTTCAAATCAAGATTGGCACATACCTTTCTAGGCCTGTTGGCTAATCTGTTGTTATCAGTTTAATATCTGATATGTGGGTGAATTGATTATTGATCCACATGATATTAACTCGAGATTGGTGGACCTTACTGTCTGTTGGCTCCGGAACCATTGCAATAATCTGATATGTTTTCGTGTTTGGAAATGCAGATGTGCCAGTTGGCGGAGATGAACCCAGACATACAGTTTCTGCAGGTTAACTATGAGGAGCACAAGTCCATGTGTTATAGCCTTAATGTACATGTTCTTCCATTTTTCCGTTTCTATAGAGGAGCTGAAGGTCGTGTTTGTAGCTTCAGTTGCACTAACGCAACGGTTAGTTCTTGTGTGCCCTTTTCTTTGTTCTCTGTTCTTGAGTTTTGATCCTGCAACGTATGTGATTCTTTATGTGTTTAGTTGGATTATTGGTTTCACTTGTCTTGAATGCTTGCCTCCTCAAAACATGTTTTTTAGTACATCATTGCATTGATCAAGTGTGACCTTTGGTCTGGCTTTGATACCAATTTGAAGCATGTGCTCCATCTCAACTAAAAGTCTAAGCTCAGTTGGATTGCACATTAATGGTTATATGCTCAACAATATTGATCATTGCTTTGGCAATAAAGTAGTGGTGATTGTGATTGTAAAGTTCTTATATTTAGTTGGGACTCATAACAATGGTGATTATACGATGGAACAGATTAAGAAATTCAAAGATGCGCTCGTCAAATACGGGGCAGATAGATGCGGTCTGGGGCCTCCAAAGGGCTTGGAGGAGAAAGAGCTACTTGCACTAGCAGAAAACAGGGATCTCTCCTTCAACTACGCACCAAAACCAGAAGAACCCGTTTCTGTGCCCTTACGAGCAGGGAAACCGCCATCTCATCATCCACACTCAGAATTCCGACTCCCACTTCCGCGTCCAATTCCATCAGCCGCCTCACCGGAGATCAAGCAACTCTCTGGTACTGATGACCGAACTTTCGTTCCCTCTGGTAGATGATCTGATCAGAATATGCTTCAACTGCTGCATATCCATCCCATTCGGCTTCATAGGAGGAGAGTGGGTGTATTTTAGGACTTTAGGGATTGAATTTTCTTGTTAATAGTGCTCCCCTGTAGGATGAAGTTTAGCAATTAGCAGGCTGTGATCTCCCATCACAAGTTGTATAATATGCATTCCTATCCTATTCTCCGGGCTCTCTCCCTTTTTTAATCGGAGATTAGCCCTCAATAAACATATTTAGTTTGCATATGCTTATGTATTCTTTTAGTATTTAACAAATGTTTTCTTGAACTTTTGTCTATTTTGTGGGGGAGTAGACTTGAACATATAGAACAGGAACAAAGAAACCCGTTTCCGGTCACCTTCTCCCAGATCTGGCCACCACTGGTAGCCTCCTCGCCGGAGAAGGTGACCACAATGGTCACCGGAGTCTGAGACCATTACTTTTTCGCCTAAAAATACGTCGAAAAAAATGTCAGGAAATGGTCGAATCAACGGTCGCCGGTCACTTTTTCGCCTGAAAATACGTCGGAAAATATGTCAGAAAATGGTCGGATCTTCAATGACCTATGTTAACATGTCATTTACTGCATCTTTTATGGGTGTTTTTGCACCTTTCAAAAGTTGGAGGGGTTAATTGACTCTTTAACAAATATTTGAAGGCTTGACCCTCTTCCCAAAATAATATGTTTAAAGAATTAATTGCACTTTTTTAAAATTCAGGTATTTAATTGACTTTTGATGTAAAATTTAAGAGTCTATTTGACCATCTTTCATATTATATATTCAACACATATTTAATTGACTTTTGATATAAAGTTTAGGAGTCTATTTGACCATTTTCACTATTATATATTCAACACAACAAACAACAAAACACTTAAGTAAAAATTACACATTATTTATTATATTATATACTTACAATACAGTAAACAGAATAAAACCCTGTACCAATAAATATGAAATTTTGCTATCTTAACCATACGAAACTATTTTATTAAAGGAAAAAAATCCAGTGGGATTGAACAATATTTTAGAAAATAAAAAATAAAAACATTATCAAACAGTACACTGGTAATTTTTTTTGTCTTTTTTTTTTTGGTTTTACAGTAGTAGAGATGAAAGGATGAGAAACAAAATGTTACCAAATGGCTCTCCTGTGGGTGAGGATAGGTGGTACAGATGTAGCAGAAATTAGAGTTACAATGACAAATTTGAATACAAGAGTAGAAGAAGTGAAGAACCCGACCCCCCTGTTTCAAATCCTTAGATTACAGAGTTTCATGAAGAGAATAATATTACTTCTTAGATGTTCTGCAATTGAGAGAAGGAGATCCGAATTGTCGATCCACTGAGGGAAGAGGCATTCTTACACACAAGGGCTTCAGTAGCCTGCTCTTCGTTTTCAAAAAGAACGAGAGCCTGCTTCTTCCCATTCATCTCGAAAAGCTTACTATTGACAATGGTGCCGTGCTCCTCCAAGTGGGATACAATCTCGGCCTCGCTCACGTCCTGGGGGAGGGTGGACAGGTGGATCATCTTGGTAGGGGAGCAACAGTATCGGTAGTTTTTGGCAGCATTACGGTTGAAACGATTGAGATTAGAGTTGGAATAGTCGTGTGTATCTGGTCCCGTGGTAATGTTTGGGTGCTTCGAGAAGTTCACCTCCAACCGCTTACCAAACAGCATACCTCCCTGCAAAAGCATGTTATTGAAAAACATTTTTTTGAAGAAATGTTCTAAATATAAAGCCACAACCCGAAAAAAACAAAGCATCAATCAAATGAAAAATATAGCAAGACCTTCAGGAAGTGCACAGCTAATTCAGCTTGGAAACCATCGCCCATCTGAACCAGTGCATGATCTGGTTTATTGCGGAGTAGTTTGATTCTGACAATGTTTCCATAAATTGAGAAAAGGTTAAAAAGCTTGTCTTCATCTATTCTCTGCAAATGGAGGACGTAATAGCAAATAAGAAATGGTGGGAAGAATGGTACTATAAGATCAAAGAGGATTTGGTTGTCTGATAGAGAAGTTGAAAAAAAATAAGTAAGAGCCCAGATGTCATATTGGTAAAAGAGACACTTACATCTGGATTTAGATTAGAAACAAGAATAGTACATCTGTCATTCGTCCCACTTATTCCAGGTGGCAATCCACCGGGAAAGGCAGCAGCAATGGCAGCAGCGTTCCCCATCTGTTAATGAAGCCACAAGCCAAGAACGACCCATTTAGGACATCTACAATTGCAAACTGCTAATGTACACTAGATCTTAATACTAACGCCACAGAGAAAGAAAGATAACTTGTCAGATACAGATTTGTTTACTGAATTTCTTAACCAAAGAGAGAAGAAAAGTACACACCTGAGGAAATCCAACTGGAGAAAGACAGACAAGAGAACAACGTTAGAGTTTAGACATACCAAAAACCAAACAGCTTAAAAAGTGTTCAAGAAGGATGATAAAAGCTGAAAGCAAGCACCAGTATGGGCACCTGAAGCTTGTAAGGAATACATCCCACCAGCATCTCCATATCCATGCTGTTATGCATCAAAAGAGAAAAGTGATTTAATACTACAAATTACTCCTATCATAAAAAGGGTATTTTTCCCCAAACTAAGTCAGAGTACAGGAATTACTTGAGACGATTTCCCCTTTTGTTCAGATGGTAGATTTGGGTTGGTGAAATCCCTATAAAGATAGAACTCATTAGAGCAGTGTTATTAAACTGGAAAGTTGCTCTTATGTGCCAAAAAGAAAATGAAAGAAACATGATGAAACTCAACTAGTGTACCTTGATCTGTCATTATTATAGTTCACTTGTAGTTCATCTAGGCTGTGAATCACCAAAAAAGAAAAAAAAAAAAATACATTGATCATATACTCATCATAGCATATGACAAATACAGTGGAAACAGATGAGCAAGGACACATAGAATTGGCAGGCAATGCCTCATTCTCGTGCCCATTCCAACATGATTCATGAATGAAGGAAGCCAAGGAGAATAAAAGCAGATTTCTTAATTCACCATAATAACGTTATATAAAGGTTTCGCGAAACACCCTCTAATATTAATCTTGCTGCTATAACAGTTCTTATAAAACTTGCATTGACCCCTTATATTTGAATGCACCCTCAAGGTAAGAGATGACAGGATCAAGAACCATAACAGGGGTCTGCCACTAACTAGCAGCATAAATCTTAAATGGATCAAACTTACTTTGAAAACTGAATATCCAGTTGACAGCAACCATCATAAATATTACGCCCCTAGAAAAAAAAAAAAAAAGATAAATATTAGCTTCCATTTCCCAAACTAGTGGCATGGATTTTCATTCATTTGAAGATGCTCAAATATATTATGAGAAGCACCTGAAGAGCATTCCTTGCAGATACAGCACTTTGGTTTGTTTGAAATTGAATCAAAGCTTGAAAACCTACACAGTTTGCATCACATCAACCATGTAATTCAAGATAACTAGGAGAGGAGAGCGTAATTTTTTTTCCTAGTAAGATCCACTAAAACAATCTAAGCACAGCAATAAAAATTTAGGGCCTATACAGTATAACATACATAGGTATGGCTTTATATGAATGATCTCCTCTAAAACCAGATTCAATATGAATCTAGCAATAAAGCGGAAAACAAGTTAAAACATATAGAGAAAACTTGAAGATGCTGACCAGCCGACTTCTGAAATGTGACGATCTTCTCTACAAATCCATGTGGAGAAAACACTTGATGCAGCACTTCCACAGTTATAGGGTATAGCATGTGATGTATTGTAACTAAGAGAATTCGATTAGGCTGAGAGTCCAGAGAGAGCCGAACAGCAGAGCAACATAGAGACAGAAGGAGAGAAGAGAAGAGAATGAATAGAACAGAACATATGGAAAAAGGAGAAGGAACGAATAAAAATAAAAATAACAAAGGTAAATAATATGATAATTAAATTATCATGTCCATATATTGTCTATAGCCTTGTATGCTTTTAGCTATGGCACTCATGACCTAAACCTATCAACTTTGGCGGCAAAGAAAAATTAATACGTGAAAGTTTTGACCACCTTAAAACAACAAAGTTTGAAGCATACTTAGTACACCATGCAGATTATATTCCTAACTCAACACAATATCTAGTTTAGTATATTAAACTCAAAAAGGTATGTACACTGGAGTTTCCAAAAACTGTATGGTACAAAATATGAACAAAATAAATAAGATAGTGCAATTTTCAACACATACAACATAATAAGGGTTTTCAACATGACATTAAAGGCTGTTTTGAATTATTTCCATGTAATTCCAGTAGTAATCAAAAGTAACTGTCTGATTATCAGAATTGACTATGGAATTCAAGATCTCTATACACTTGTGATAACATGAGAATTATGTCAACAAAGGAACTATCCAAGAAGCCTCTTTATTCAAAAGAAGATAAAATTCCTAACCTCATCGCCTCGACTTTGTGTGTTCTGGTCCATAGTTGTTAGCTCTTGATGTGAAGAGAACTGAATATAAACATTCCGCCCTCTAGATGACAATCAAAATGTGATTCGTTTAATAATGTTAATAAAGATCAGCAAAAAATATGGTGTTGTCTGAATGTTCAGAAAGTACAGTAAAAAAGAAAAAACTTATCCATACAAATATAAAAGAAGCATAAGGAAGAGAAGGCTCATGTCATATTAGGCACCTTATGCTAGGTTGCACATTCGTGTAAAATTGCAATGCATTTACAGCTGAAGGAACATCTTGCATTTGAAGGAGGGCCTACACACACAAATTAAACACAACACAGGATTTTCACTTTCAAATGGTTTGTGTTTGAATAAAGGTAATATCAATGTTGAAAAAATCGCTAGGCGTTTGGGTACCGCCTAGAGCGCCTAGGCGGGCACCTAGGGCGACCTCGTAGCGCCTAGGCGCTAGGAATCGATTACACGATTTTTGCAACACTGGGTAATACACCTACATATTTGTGAAATTAGCACCTGATTTTTTGCTCTTAGCATCACAAGTTTTGTTATAACCCCAAATGGCTGGAACAGCTGAAGCAAATCATTCTGCAAAGAAAATCATAGCAGGCTTTTAGAAAAGAATTCCCCGAGACCCCGACATCAAACTAAAAGAGGCAACCAAGCAGGTATATACAGTTTTTGTAAGGGTTTAACACTACATGGAGTATAAGCTGCAGAACTTTTCATGCTTCATGCAAGAGCAAAGAGAGTGGAGTATGGCACTCTGGCTTGCTTCAATAACATAAACTCAATAAAAACACAGATTTATGATTCTGTAATATTCAGATAGGTTGTGATACTTTACCTCGGAAATCTCATGGCCCACATTACGAACATGAATGACCTTTGAAGGCTCCGTCATTTTCAATGGCCTGAATGGTAAAAGCCATGTTAAACTTTGGAAAACGACAAAAGCAGTGAAAAGAACACTGAAAAAATCTGAATTTGATGGAAAGAAATACTTTAGATTAAACTAGAAAAGCCTATTATCTTTACAAGACTAGCGTCCAAAAAACCTTCTGAACTCTCTATAGTCTATAAAGCCTAAAGAGCATGAAACTATGGACAAACTCCCAGCTCTAATGCCAAACAACAGAATTAGCAATACGCACCTAATCGCTGAATTCAATTCCAAAATCATTTGACTTAAAAGCTGAAATATACCCATCCAATCTTAGATTCAAGAATGATAGTTAACAAGAACGCCTATAGTTTCTCCTAAATTTCCATGAATGTACTCAGAGACATAAAAATGCACTCATACAACCAGGGAATCATGCAAATCAACAATGCAATAGAAAAACTTACGACTCTGCAAAAATCCCAATTATCCCAATTAGTAGAAACGATAGAAATTTAACTTGTAGATCTAACCTTCAGATATATCACTCGAGGAGAGAGAGTGGGAAAGATAGAGAGAAGAAGAAGAAGAAGAGATGGAGGACTAGGGTTTGGGTTGGTAGCACGTGAGGGTTAAAGGGCTTATCTTGTTGGAGGTGAAAGGGTGACTTGTATGACATAAACACCCTAGGTCAAAAGCGTAGCAAGCAACGCGCAAGGGGTGTTTTAGACAATTCGAGTGGGGAGCACGACAGAGCGCGGCTATAAAGATAAGCTTAGGGTAAGAGTTTTTCACTCATCTACTTGATCTTATCTGAGCGGTAGGCGGCGGCGATCGGCGGTAGGGTTTGGGAATCGACGGGCGAGAGCCGCCCGCTTCGGTCATCTCCGGGGTTGAAGGCGGCTATCCGTCTGAGCTCCCATTTTCCTGTAGCCCTTCTCCTCCGCTTTACCGCGATGAAGACTGCCCGCCGCCTGAGCCTCCTTTCATCGGCGATGATGGGTGAGCGGGCTTTCAACCCCATTCCAAAAAAAAAAAAAATCATTCTTTTTAATTTATGTTGATTTTTAGACGCATTTTGTAGTGCATGCATTATTTGCATTGAGTCTTCTATGGATGAAATTGCTTTAGGTTTGTTTGATTTGTTAGTGTTCTTTCTGATTTGTGAATGCTCTGCCAAATTCTTGTTTCCGATTGTTCATTTATCCCATGTATACCTGTGTTTCCTTATTAATGTTGCTTTTATGTTGGGTAATTCTTGTTTGCGCACATAGATAGACATAACTTCTTATGGTCTAGGGGAAAAAATCTGTGCAGTGTATTCCCAGAGCTATCTTGTTTGTGTGCCTTAGTGCATCCCCAATGGCCAAAGGGCTAAAAATGAGGGGAGAGAGAAGGGAGAGACATGGTTGTTGGTGGGGAACAGTCTAGCCCTTACCATGTTGTTTTATTTAAAATAAATATAATAAATATAATTCAGTCGCTGAAATAGTTGTTGAGGCTGAAAGAAAATGAACTTATGCATCAAATGATCAAAATATTGACCTTTTAGTGTGTATTCAATTCTTTTATATTATCTATATATATACTAATATATACCTCATACAACAGTCAAAAATGTTGTGTTTTGTTTTTTTTTTTTAAATAATAGTTTTACCAATTTATATCTTTTTCTTAATATTTTGACTATCCATTGCATAATTTAATTTCATTTCAGTCTCAATGAGGCTGTTGAGGCTGAATTACAATTATTTTTTAGAATAAAGCTGCAGGGTGGGAACAGGTTGTCCCCCAACAGTCTCTCCGGATATTGTCTCTCCTTGCAATCCTTCTCTCATTTTTAGCCATTGGCAATGCTCTAAGGGCTTTTGCCCACTGAAAACCTTGTCTTATGCTATCCTTTTGTTCCGAGGAATGCAATGTTAGGCTGCAAGCAGTTGGCTTTTTTAACAGGTTTCATTCTAGGAGTTTGAATAATTTTTCTGTAGAGTTGCCTGTATGCTCTAGATGTGACATGCTACCATGTAAGGCTGGCCTTATCCCATCAAATATCGCATTGGCAATCAAATATGGTATTGGCAAGATGATGTGGAAATTAAAAAAAAAACATTGTTTATTTTGTAAAATTGTCCAATGTGGCTAGCAAATTTGCTAATGGCTTTAGCAAAAGCTGCCTTAGCAAATTTGCTAGTCACGTGGACAACCCACCAAAATAAATAATGCTTTTTTTGATTTTCACATCATCTTGCCAATACTTTCTTTGTTGGGATAAGGCCAGCCTAAGGATAGCCTAATGCATAATAGTTGATGTGTAAGTAGAATTGATATTTCTTAAATACTTGTGTATCCTTTAAAAACTTGGGAAATTGACAAATTTTAACCTTGCAAGGTAAAGAACAATGATTAAGGTAGGTCAGTGAAATTGTTAAACAGGGATATGCTATATAAGGATTATTACATCAAGATGAATTTAAAGGTACAATCTTTTTAATGTTTTTCTTTTTGTTGCTAATGTGGAATCTCAACTAGTCTTGCCATTTGGTTGCAGGACTTCAAATTTTGTTGTATGTGACTATGTGTAATGTGTAATAGATTTTCATGTGTAAGTTAAGAGTGTGCAAGTATCCAACGACCTGAAAGGTGGAACTGGATCAAATTTGGGTCAGTTTTTATGAAATTAAGATATCTGTGATACACACTTAACACACAAATAGGATATTGTTATTAGTTTGGTGTGTACAGATGTCTGAAATTCTTAAAGTGTAGAAATAAAAATTTTAATTTTAACCAGATCCATACTAAATCATGCATCTTGTGTTCTTGGCTCTTGCATAACTGTGCTCCATTCGAGATAGGAGACAGCCAAGTCCTATCTGGATTTCCAGATTGTTGTTGTTGAGCTCCAATGGAGGAGGTGACTTTGAGACTGGTTGGATCCTGGTGGTGCCTCCAAAAGGCAAGCTACCACCAGGAGGTTGTCATGGGAGTGCCCTTGAGTTCCTATTCGACACAAATGTCATTGGAGTGCCCTTGAGTTCCTATTCAACACAAATGTCATTGGAGTGCCCTTGAGTTCCTACTCGACACAAATGCCATTGGAGTGCCCTTGAGATCCTACTCGACACAAATGCCATTGGAGTGCCCTTGAGATCTTACTCGACACAAATGTCATTGGAGTGCCCTTGAGATCCTACTCGACACAAATGCCATTGGAGTGCCCTTGAGGTCTTACTCAACACAAATGTCATTGGAGTGCCCTTGAGATCCTACTCGACACAAATGCCATTGGAGTGCCCTTGAGATCTTACTCAACACAAATGTCATTGGAGTGCCCTTTGAGATCTTACTCGACACAAATGTCATTGGAGTGCCCTTGAGATCTTACTCAACACAAATGTCATTGGAGTGCCCTTGAGATCTTACTCGACACAAATGTCATTGGAGTGCCCTTGATCCTACTCGACGCAAATGTCATTGGAGTGCCCTTGAGATCTTGACCTCGACACAAATGCAGGTGTGGGGTGCCTTAGAGGAAATCCAGGAGTGCAAGAACTACAGAAGCAGCCACTGAAGCCTCATAATTTTGATGTTATAATGAGCTCAAAGCAGCTAGTTCTTGTGTTTTTTTTTTTTTTTTTTTGGAGAAGGGGAAGGGCACAGCCTCAGAAGAAATAAAACAACAAAATCAGTCACTTAGGAACCCTGATAGTATAATTCTGGACGCTGTTTTACTTTAGATAGATGTATGTAAAACACATCTATTGAAATTATGAGTTTTTGTTAGACATGTGATTGTTTACATAACCACGCTATAGTGGTTTGGTGTATATATATATAATCTAAGATTAATAAATTATTTTATTTATTTTATTTTGTACTCCGTAACTTTTTACATATTTAATTTCAGCAAATTATATAATTTAAGTCTTTTAACTATTGTGACATTGTTATATTTGGTCAGATTTTATTTTTAAAAAATTTTAATTTTTTTTTTTTTTTGCTACATTACGTGCAATTTTATTATTCAAGATGTAATGTAATATTGTAAAATTGAAAGAACAATGACTATGAAATTTGTCATAATGATTTTGTTGGGATCAAAGGCCCTAGCTATTTGTGAAAGTCATAGATGTACTACTCCCCTCCATATACGAATGTAAAAAAGGAAGTAGACTTAAGGCTATCTTTCACTCATTTAATATTTCCTCATTTTCAAAATGTTATATTTGTTGTAATTCAGCATATCAACTCGTTAGTTCTCGCCAGATGTTTGTACGGTAATGCTTAGAGATTGTATGTATATGAGTATAGTTATTTAATGGCCAAGGGGAAGTGTTATAAATATTTTAGGGAGAAGTGTCAAATAGGTCCATCTACTATTGCGAAGTGCTCAATTCACCCATCTAAAATATAGTCTAATCAGGCACACTTACCTTCTAAAATTGTTCAATTAAACTTTTTTGCAGGTTACCACCCAGTTGCCCATTCCACCTTGTTGACCTGGAAATAATTTAATGACATGGCAGTGCTCAACCTCCACCACCACCTGCCTTCATCCCAATCAACCTCCACCAGCCTGCCTTCATCCCAGTCAAATTCCACCACCACCTTTATCATCAACACTCCCACCAGAATCGCTCTGTTTTCACCTTCACCGGCGTCACTCGATTTGGTTCAATTTCGAAGGCCCCAAACTAATGGTCTTGTTTCGTCTTCCAGTGCTCCGTTGATAGCGACTGCGACTGGTGGTCTCGCTTCGTAGGGTGGTGGACGGGTCTCGGTGGAGGGGGAGAGAATTAGACCTCTTCCAATGGTGGCAGTGGCTGAAGCACTTTTGACTCCTACTTCCTCGTTGCAAGCTGGTGGGCCTCCGGTGAATAGGCCGGTGAGAGTGGGTAGCATGGTGCGTAGACGGAAACGACGAAAACAGAGGTTAACTCCACCGCCCTCGCCCTCATACAAAGTTTAAATCGCCCTCATACAAAGTTTAAATCGGTATGAATCCATTGCAGCAAATTTTAATTTGTGTAATTTGAGAATCTCATTGTCAGAAATCAACAAATTTGAAGACTTCATCGGCAGAAATCATTTTCAGAACTCATCTTGGCTGCTTTGATTGCTTCGCCCAGCCGTGCCCAGCCGATTCCAGATCGTCATGGCTTCATTTCTCAAGAACACACAGTACTGATTAGAGAATAACAGTTCAAATTCCGACATTAAATCTCTTAGGGTTTCGTAAACATTGAGTACCTTGAACAGTCTTTCCGGCGCTCAGCTTCGAATTTATACATCGTCGGCGAAGTTGAGCAGCTGAATGGTGGAGCCGCGACAGACTTCCATGAACGAGATGTCGGCAGCGGAAGAGAAGGCGAAGAAGACGCGATAAGCGGTGGAAGAGAAGGCGAAGAAGACGTGCTCAGCGGCGGAAGAGAAGGCAAAGAAGACGCGATCGCAAAGTCCAACAATATATTGCAAATTGTTTTTATTATTTTTGTTATTTTAATGCCAGATCATCAATGCCACCTAATCCTAACCGGGCCAAATCATCTCAAATAGGATGGTAACCTGCAAAAAAGTTTAATTGAACAATTTTAGAAGGTAAGTGTGCCTGATTAGACTATATTTTAGATCATGGGGTGAATTGAGCACTTCGCAATAGTAGATGGACCTATTTGACACTTCTCCCAATATTTTATTATTATGGCCATTAAACTTGTGACCTTTTACATAAATATGCATATCCGTTTCTTAGCATTCTAATACAAACACAATAATCCAATGCAAACATAATAAGGACCGATTATGCATTCGATATCCATAGTCATAGAACATACATGGATACATATACATACAATTTGGCATATAACCACATGTATTTACTATTTCAAAGCATCATGGTTCATATAGAGCCTATCTCATATACATGAATTGAGAGAATAAATAAAGATAATATGTATTTACCCAAATTCTTAACCATGTCTTGATGAGGAGTTCATCACTCAAAAGTTGTTAACAAACATGAAGAATTATCACTCATTTCATAGAAACAATAATTGAAAGTTCCAAACCAAACTCATAGTCATATATACACATAATATTTAGATATAAACAATGGCATATGATTCACAAAACAAAATTTCACAGGAAAAATGAACCAATAGTACCGTTCACCGGAGATTACAATAGAGACTCGTGTTGATAACGTGTTGTACTTTGGCCTATCAACTAGCTCAGTTCCCCCTTTGCACGGTAATGCTTGGAGATTGTATGTATATGAGTATAGTTATTTAATGGCCAAGGGAGAGTGTTATAAATATTTTATTATTATGGCCATTAAACTTGTGACATTTTGGGTGTGTTTGGTTCGCACATAGGAATCGGAATTGGAATGGGTATCAAATACTTGGTAATGGTAATGGGTTTTGGTGGAAGTATTTAACATGTTTGGTAGTATGGTGGAATGAGAATGGTTACTAATAGTAGTGCTTGAAAATGAATAAAGGAATGAAACCCTTATTGTATTTGGGTATGGGTTTTTCAATTGATGGGGTATTCGAAATCCATAGTAATGTTCTAAAAATCTATCAACCAAACAACAATAATCACTTTCATACCCATTCCTATGGGCAAAACCCACCAACCAAACACACCCTTTGTTAGCCTTTACTTGTTTCATTACTTATGTTAAAGATGTGAAAAGGTTGTAATCATCCCCCTATAAATTGAGGGTGAAGGCTTAATAAAAAGATAGTCCCACGTGATTGTGTTTTATATATTGTGTTCTTCCTCTTCCTTTTTACTTATCTATTCTATATACTCATATACAAACAATCTCCAAGCATTACCTTGCAAACATCATGCGAGAACTGAGCTAGTTGATATGTCAAATTACAACAATATTATTAAATTTATAATTATTATTATTATTTCATTTATATAATTATCTTTCATCTTTTAAAAGTGATCCCACATTTACATTAAAAAGAAAAATTATTTAGCCAAAGGTGTTCTGTATTGCACAATAATCCGCTTGACCCCATTTTCAATACAGCTATTTGCAACACATCAAGGAAAAAAAAAAATCAACAAGGATTTACAATTGGCCAAATCCTCAGGGCATCACCAATAATGAAACAAGTTTTTCTTAGAACATTCATAATAGTGAAATTTTTTGTGTGATTTTTAAAGAGTTTGGAGTTTTTGTAAGTGTGATTATTTTTTTTTCTTTTTTCTTTTCTCTTTCCTTTCTCCTTCTCCCAAAAACCTCATTATTCAAGTTGCTCGATCAATTCAATGACTTGTTATTTCTTCTATGAGAATAGAACATCCACGTGCATTGTAATTAATTATTACCCTTGCAAGCAAGGGAGAGAGAAGAGGCAAATGGCTAAGAAAATTAATTAAATGATAGAACCATCTAAGAGGAAATTTTAAGATTTTATTATACTTTACCTTACTTCAATTCAGGTTTGCACAGTAAGAATAAAAAGCTTATTCCATCCCCCCAAAAAAAATCTAAAAAATATTAACCAATTCTAATCAAGAATAAGAATTGGAGTAACAACAAAATTCCCCTACACAACAGCAAGCTGCAGGCCCCCGAAGAAGACGAGGACGATTTAGCGGAATGAGAACCTTTGCCGGACGACGACGACGACGGAGAATCATCATCACCGGCAGATCCCGGCGACTCTGCTCCCAATTTAATCCCGATGTTGAACCTACAGGAAGGGGTAGACAAGTTCTTAGTCGTCACCTCCCCCAAACCCTGGAAGTCGCAGCTATCTTTCGCTTGGTCTTGCGCCTGGAAGTAGGCATTGAAAGTGTACGACACCTTCTCGGTGTCAGAGAGGCCGTTGCACGACGATCCATCGCTCATCGGCGTGCAATCTGCCCGGCCGCAGGCGTAGTCGGTGTTAGCCTTCAGATTCGTCAGTTTCGCGTTCGCTTTCAAGGCGCACCATTTCTTCGGGAGGTATTCTATCCCCTCCACGCCCGTCATAATCTTCCCCTTTCCGCCCTTGCCGGAAAGATCCAAGTTAAACTTGGTTTGACCGTCGTAGCCGAGGATTCCCCAGTGAGGCTCGAAGTTTCCGGGAAGAGTGCTCTTCTGATCCTCATCGTACAATCCGAACATGTAGACATCAATGTCGGCGCCGGGGCGGACGGGGGTGCCTTTCTTGCCCGCCAGGTGTTTGATAAAACCATTGTAGAATCTGGCGGCCATGGAGGCGTTGGCGAAGTTGTCGCCGTCGGTGGGCCACCCAATCTCCCCCACCACCACCTTCACCTTGCCGTGTTTCTCCCGCGACAGCGCCGCCACCGCCGTGTCGTAGTTGGCGTCGAAGACGTTGGTGTAGGTTTTGCCGTTATCGTCGAGAGGCTTGTCGACGCCGTCGAAGAAGGCGAAGTCCACGGGGAACTGGTCCTTGGAATAGAAAAGGCTGAGGAAAGGGTAGACGTTGATCATGAAGGGGGCGCCGTTCTTGTCCAGTACTTCCACGATTTTCTTCACTTGGTCGGCAATGTCGCCGCGGAACATCCCGGCGGACGGCACGGGTGCGTACGGCGGAGACAGGTACACGTCGGCGTTGAATGGTACGGTTGCCTTGACGGTTTTACCGATCCCGGCTTCATTCAGTGCCTTCTGCATGTTCGCAAGCGCCGGATATGTGACCTTGAATAAACCCTGTTTCTCGTAGAACTTGAGAAATGGTTCGTTCCCCACCCCCACAAGCCTGCATCTCCATCAACCATATTAATCAATTACATTACATACAATGTTTAAACAATATATATATATATATATATATATATATATATATATATATATATAAATATATATATATATATAGGAAATTTCTATTTAGTTTGAACCTGTCAGCTAGTTATAATTATTGCGTGGTGTGTAGTTCACACATCTGTGTTGATCACAGTCTAGAAACAGCATCATTTTTTGTGTAAAAAAAAAAGTTCACGCAACCCCTACAACATACATTTTTATCGCATTCTTTTAAAAGGTTGAACCCAAAAGATTGAACCTCAACCCTAAGGATCCTCACACCCCGACCCGACAAAGCATTTCGGAGGATGTAAATCATGGTAACTCAAAAAGGTTGAACCCCAACCCTAAGGGCGGCCCCACACACCGACCCATAACTCATTCTTCCAAAAGGTTGAACCTCAATCCTAAGGGCCTCCACACCCCCACTCGACAGAGCATTTGTGAGGATGTAAATCATGGTAACTCAAAAAGGTTGAACCCCAACCGTAAGAGCCCCCGACCCGAACCACGGAGGCCGCTGGTGAGACTCGGTCCCTGGTCATTTTTTCCAACTTTTCACCTCTATGACCAGTTGAAGCTGCCCATGCGAGGACATTTTTATAACTCATAAGTGTACACACAGCTATGTAAATCACAATTCACACAATAATTTGCCATGAATAACCTAGACCAAATTTATCTACTGCACACCCTCCAATAGGAATGTCAAGTAAGTACATGTATCAATTTGTTTTTTCAGTTGCACTAGGTATTGTAGGCCCAGATCAAGGGTGCGTAATACTTTCTAATCTCTTTTTAGAGGGTTTAGATAGTGCACACTCTCCGATAGTGATGACAAGTCAAAAAAATTGTATACATATATATAGAGACATATACATACGTGATTTTAACGCCATCGGGAGAAGTGGGATTGTAGCTAGTGACATTTTCTTTGACAAATGCCTTTGCCACTTCATAATTAACCAAGTCCTTGAGAAGGGCATTGGGGGTGCCGATCATGACCTCAATGCCGGTACCGGCCAAGGCATTCAGGACAGGCTTCGGAGTGTTGAAAAGCTTCACCTTCTTAATCCCGTTGGCCTTCAGCATCTTCACCACCGCTTTCGGCGGCAGCGGATGGGACGAGATGTCGCCCCAGTTCACGCCCACCTCCGCTTCCACGCCCGCTCCGCCGTACATCAACACCCATGCAGCGGCGGCCACCATCACCGCCGCCCATCTGCCACTCAACTGCCTACAACCTGACATCATCTCCATATATAGATCGTAATTTTTTTTAATTATTTTTTTTATGTTTATATAATAATAATTTTGTTATTATTAAAATTATTATTTCTTTCTTTTTCTTTTAGCTTGCTGTGGAGTGATTGTGTAGAGTTTGAGAGCTTATATATATATATGGAGGATTCAGGTGTTTTGGGGCTACCTGCCATTGTGAGGTTGTCCTTGAAACATGCATGTTGAAGAATATATGATTTGGTAAAACATGGACAAGTCTTAACATAATTATGTGGATCTCTGCTTATTTTTGTCCACTCACTATTATTACAATTATTATTATTATTTGGGTTTTAATTTTTTAAGATTTTTTTTTTTTTAATTTCAAGCATGCATATTTTATAAAATCAAACTAATAGATTTTTATAAAATAATATAATATTATATAGTATAGCTTATAATATTTAATTGTTATTTGCAAATGAGAAATAGGAACTTTTTAAAATAATTTTATAGATCGAAAATCACATTCTCCAATCAAACTCTTAAGCGAATGTACACTTCAAATTATCTATAGGTGATGTATTCAATTATTGACTTTTTGTAAGAATCTATAAAAGTTTATATAAAAAAAAATTCACAAACTTTTATTAACGAACTTTTTTATTCTAAGTTAAATACATTCTTACAAACTTTCAATGACTTGATTCATATTATTTATAATTTTGTTTAAAAAATGTTATAATATATCACAAAATCTTCTTCTAGTTCGTCTTCCACATCAAGGGAATAGAAGATAGTGAAACGAAGGTGAGACTTTCTTTCTTAAGTTGTATATTTTTCCTGGTTTAATTGATTCCTTTTTATATTGTTATAATTTCTTTATAGTGGTTTACTTTGATTTTCAATCTCTTGTAACGCTTTCTTTCTAAGGCCACAAAGATTTACTTTGTTGATAGTACGTTCTTCCAGGTTGGTGAAGCCTTTCTTTGATTCTAATTGTTATCCATATTTTATATATACTATTGATATTGTGATGAATTATTGTCATGTAGTTAATTAGTTCTTAATGTAGTTTCTTGCTCTAGTAATTTGAAATATTCTCTGAAAGCATTTAATTATTAGCTCATTTACCTGTAAGTAATCTTATTGTTGTTGAATTGTACGTATGCATGCTCATGGGCTTTAATTTATGGCTTACTACTCTATAACCTCATATAATAAAAAAAATATATATGTAAACCAACCACAATTGCATTACTATGTCTAAATGACTAAGGCCTTATTTGGTAAATGGATGCAATATTTAGTCTTTTTACATTTATCAACTTATCAAAAAGCTAATTTTACCAAACACTTTCAACCATAACAGCTCTTCAGTTTTCAGCTTCGAGCTTATAACTTTTCAACTTTCAGCTCCTAGCTTATAGTTTTTCAGCTAGGTTTGCCAAACAGAGCCGATAGCTGTTAAATTAGCTGATTGGGTTAATTAGAGGGTATACCTAGTTGATAACATTAGCTGATTGTAAAAAGATGTTTGGTAAATTAGCTGTTAGCTGATAACTGTTTGGTATAGTTTTCTTTCTCAAAATTAAAAGCTAATTGAAAAAGTTGCTTTGAGCAGCTTTTTGAATTTTAGCATTTTGGAGTTACAAAAAACTAATTAACCAAACACTTACATGGCGTTTGGTTGGAAGGGAGGAATTATGTGGGAAAGAAATTGCAATTCCATGGGAGATGAATTACTGGGAATAAAGTGAGAATTTAAATTCCAGTGTTTGGTTTACAGGAATAGATCAAATTATTGGGAATTTCAATTCCAATGTTTGGTATACATGGGAATTGAAAGGGAATAAGTAGTATAAAGTCCAAAATGCTCATTGTTGTTGTGTTATTAATTTTAGGATACAAAAAGGGATGGGTAATTTTGTCTCATCACTAGCTTCTTCTTTTTTTTCCTAAAATCTTAGGAATTAAAATCCCAGGGGGAACATGGGATTTTAATTCCATGAAAATGGGGGAATTGCAATTCCTTCCAACCAAACTATGGAATTTTATGACATTTGGAATTAGGTGGGAATTTAAATTCCCTCCAACCAAACGCCTTGTTATATTATTTTTTTTAACCAAATCAAAAAGTTAATAGTGATCAAATAAGCTAAAATTAGCCTATAGGCTAACTATTTTACCAAACAGGGCCTAAATCTGTGTAATTCATAATGTATTTGAAAACTACTTTTATCTTTGCTTTTAAAAGCCATAATTTTCTCTCCAAATCTTGAAAACTTATAATACTCCCACCTCTTTTTGGTTTATTGTATACTATATGTATGTTTGTGAATTGTGATTTCTTACTTTGATTAATCCCTTATAGAGCTAAGTGCTCAAACACCCCAAGTAGAAGCTTCCTTTGACTCATATATAACCTATATAAATTTATATTTTAATCGGTTATGATATGTAATAGCTATGAACTAAAGAAATTGAAGAAAAAAATTAAATATATTAAAATATTTTTGGTTATAAGATGAGTCACCTCTACATATATATATATATATATATATATATATATATATATATATATATATATATATATATATATATATATATATATATAAAATTTGATCTATCTAACTCTCCTATACAATAGGCTAGAATAACAAACTAACCTGAGACCACAAACACATAAACTATATAATATAATACTAATGTAACATATATTATTAATAATCTAGTCCGACTAAACTCATATTTTAATCGAACTAGTCCATTTCCGTTCGAATAGCATTGCCAATTTGACACTACATAAAGGGAGGGAGAGAGAATAGAAATCTTAATGTCTTTGGAGTAAATCTTGGAAGTTATTTTTCACTAATTAAAATGGGTCGAGGACTAACATGCATATAATTTATCTCTCTCAAACTCTTTTAATTGAATGATTAAATTACATTAGTCATATTTATTTGGCAAGCAAATAAAAATCAGTGATGTAATAATATAATAAAATTAAAAGAATAAGACTAATTGTACTGACAATGCCATTGTGGTGAAATTTGTTGTTTTGAATTTTTATATTTTGTATGCCCATTTTAAATACATGCTTATTTAATTTAATACTCCGTAATATGCATTGCTAGCTGTCTATATATTTTTGCAACACATCATAAAATTAGTGATTGAATTTAGTATATAAAATAATTAACTTCATATTTAATACATAATCTATCGGAAAATAAACATGGTCCAAACTCTATTTAAGTAATAAAATAGAATAAGTGGTATTAAGTACAGTAGTAGATTATTAGCTATACTATATTGCGATGTTATTTCAAGTATTTGTTTTAATTCATACATATATATTTAACATGAATAAAAATAGCTTAATTACAATGTATAGCATAATATCAGTCCAAACATAAAATATCATGTAAGACATTTAGTCTGAGCAATGCTCAGATACTATTTAATATTTTTTATCTGGACAAATAAAAAAAATATAAATTAAACGGGTCGAATGTACCATACAAATAAGTGCATATAATTAAATTTTGATCTGTTTTCTTGAAATGATATAATGAAATGTTTAGTAGAATGGAATTGCAATTCCATCCTTACTAAAGTCCATGAAATAATTCTATGGAATTTAGTAAGAATTGAATTGCAATTTTATTTTATTCATAATATAAGGACATTTTAGTTTTTCTTCACTTCTTCTCTTTCAATTCTCGATCAAAAGTCAACACTTTATTCTTTTCCGGTGAAATGTGAAATTACAATTCATATCTCTCCTAATTCCGGCTTTATTTCTCCACCGTCCTCAGATCAGTGTAGCCTTGTGTTTCTAATGCATAATAAGCCCTCGAAGCTTATTCTCTTGAAAATTAGAACAAAAGATCGAATGAGTCAATTCTAATCAAGAAGAACAATGGGAGTAGTAAGAAAATTCCCCTACATAGCAGCAAGCCGGAGCCGGAAAGGGAACGAGAAGATGAGTTAGAACCGGGTTTTGAGGGAGAACCGTCGGCCGGAGAACCAGGTGACGGCGCTTCCGGCGGCGGCACTTTAATGCCGATGTTGAAGTTGCAGGTGGAGGTAGACAAGTTGGTAGTGGTGACCTCCCCTAAACCCCCGAAGTCGCAGCTCCCAGCTTCTTGTTCATGGGTCTGAAAGTAGGCGTTGAAATAGTAGGAAAGTTTTTCGGGTTCGGTGAGGGAGTGGCACGACGATCCGTTACTTGTGGCGGTGCAATCGGCGCGGTCGCAGGCGTAGGAGATGGTGGCTTTCATATTGGTGAATTTGGCGTTGGATTTCACGGTGCACCATTTCTTAGGAAGGTATTCAATCTCCGGCACGCCGGTGAGAGCCTTCCCCTTTCCGCCGGAAAGGTCGAGCTTGAATTTGGGTTGGCCGTCGTAGCCGAGAATTCCCCAGTGGCGCTCGAAGTCGCCGGGAAGAACGCTCTTCTGATCCTCGTCGAACAGCCCGAACATGTACACCTCCAGGGCGCTGCCGGGGCGGGCCGGGGTGCCTTTCTTGGACGCCAAGTGTTTGATGAAGCCGCCGTAGAATTTGGCGGCGAGGGAGGCGTTGGCGAACTCGTTTCCGTCGGTGGGCCACCCGATCTCCCCCACCGTGACGGTCATCTTGCCGTGGCCCTCGCGCGCCAGGGCCGCAACCGCGGTGTCGTAGTTGGCGTCGAAGACGTTGGTGTAGGTTTTGCCGTTATCGTCGAGCGGCTTGTCGACGCCGTCGAAGAAGGCGAAGTCGAAAGGGAAGCTGCCGTTGGCGAAGTAAAGGCTGAGGAAAGGGTAGACGTTGATCATGAAGGGGGAGTCGTTCTCGTCCAGTACTTTAATGATTTGCTTCACTTGTTTCTGGATGTCCGGCCGGAACATCCCGGCGGACGGCACGGGTTTATCCGGCGGAGACAGGTACACGTCGGCGTTGAATGGTACGGTTGCCTTGGTGGTTTTACCAATCCCAGCTTCATTCAGTGCCTTCTGCATGTTCGCAAGCGCTGGATACGTGACATCGAATAATCCCAGTTTCTTGTAGAACTTGAGAAATGGTTCGTTCCCTATACCCACAAGCCTGCATACACCTCCATCCATCAACCACACTAATCAATGCAATATGTTGAAAAAAAATCACTACGCGCTGGTCGAGCACTCGGGGATGCCCTAGTGCCTAGACCGAGTTTAAGCGGCATTTAGGCAAGCTAGTTAGCCACCTAACCAGCCAACAGCTTAGATCATTGATTATGGTGATACGTTATGTCACCGGCTGTGTCTAGCGCCTAGGCAAGATTTTTACAACACTGAATCAATGCAATATGTTGAAAAAAATCACTAGCCGCTAGTTGGGCACTCGGGGACTCCCTAGCGCCTAGACCAAGTTTAAGCGGCACTTAGGTAGGCTAGTCAGCCACCTAGCCAGCCAACAGTAGCTTAGACCATCAATTATAGTGATAGGTTAGGCGGCCGGCTGTGCCTAGCGCCTAGGCAGGATTTTTGCAACACTGACTTAGACATGTATATATATATATATATATATATATATATATATATATATATATATATATATATATATATATATATATATATATATATATATATATAATATACATACGTGATTTTAACGCCATCGGGAGAAGTGGGTTTGTAGCGAGTGACATTTTCTTTGACAAAAGCCTCTGCTACATCATAATTAACCATCTCTTTGAGGAGGGCATTGGGGGTGCCGATCATGACCTCAATGCCGGTACCAGCCAAGGCATTGAGGATATGCTCCGGGGAGTTGAAAAGCTTCACCTTCTTAATCCCGTTGGCCTTCAGCATCTTCACCACCGATTTCGGCGGTAGCGGATGAGACGAGATGTCGCCCCAGTTCACGCCCAGCCCATCCAACCCCGCTACTCCGTTCATCAACACCAATGCAGTGGCGGCCACCATCAGCAGCGCCGATCTGCCACTCAACTCACTACACACCGACATCACGTCGTTCAATCTAATTTTTATTTTTTTTTTAGAAAATGTATATATATTTTTATTTTATTATGAGTATTGTTGTTTATTTCCTTTTTTTTTTTTCTTTAAGGTTGAATTGGATGTTGTGGAGTGATTGTCCTGACTTGAGAGTTTATATAGGGAAAGATGGATCAGGATAGTAGGGATTCAGTTTTGGAGCTAGTCAATTGAAGCAGTTACCTGCCATTGTGAGGTTATCCTTGAAACAATCTCAGCTATTTATTGCAGGCATGGGTACGTGGTCTTGAATTAATAATTATGATTAATATTATATTTTATATATATATAATGGAACTATGTTTATGGCAGTCTGAAGAGAATTGCGTGGATCTGTGCTTATTTTTAATTTGTCCTCTCCATCACTTTCTGGAGAATGTATCCGTACGTGGTCAAATTATGTATATAATAGGTAAAATTGTAAATTATGTCACTCCATAATATGTTAAGAATTTTATTACATGTACTTCTTAATTTTATAATTTTCTAAATTTTACTCCGACAAATTCTGATAAGTTATTTTTGTTATGTGAGTCCCAATACAAATGTTTACATCAAAATTTTGTGTGTGAGAGTACTAAGTGGGAGTACATGTACATGCAACATTTTCCATATGTTAATTATTAATGAACCCACCACTAAATATTGAGAGGCAACATCTACATCACTAATAATTCAAGAATAACATTGATAATTGACATTATATAAGAGTGTTTGTTTGTTAATGAAATATTTGCACGAATGGCATCAAGAGTTCGTGCCAATCCTATATATAATAAAGCCATATGGTCTTGTGAAAATTAAATGGTGATAATCAACATTTAATTTTCACAAGACCATAATAATATTGTTAATTATAATATCAATAACAATAATAATAATAATTGCAATAATAATAATGATAATAATTTCCACTGACAGTTTCTAATATATATATATATATATATATATATATATATATATATATATATATATATATATATATATATATTTAATTAATTATTATATTTATTTATATTTCAATTTCTATTGACAAATTATTGTGTGAACATGGTCCACATAATTGTATGGATCATGAATATCAAATACATTTTTAATATATTAAAAATACATTATTTTTATATTGAAAGTACCTTACATACATATATAATGTACCCTTAGTATATTTAAATTATACTTTTTATTGCATGCAACCCCAAAGTTCATAAGTTTGAAATTAATATATGGCATAGCTAGGCGGCCTAATATTTAAGATTGTTGATGTGCATATTGAGGACTACGGAGACAAAGATGCGTTATTCGTGGATTCATCGGATACTATCCAACAACACTCTCCAACTTAATTAACGTGAAGTAGGCTTAGTAACATTAAGATTATATTCTCGAATTATTAGTTCTCATCCTTTATTGATTACACACTTAATTCGATAGTATTTGGAAGAAAAAATCAATGTTCGAACTAAGATTGTGATTTTAGTCTTTAAAGGTCAATTGTATGTTGCTACATCTAAAGTTAGAAATCTCAAAGGTCTAAAAATTTTGATCCGTGGTGACTCTAAAATTGTAATTCAATTACTATTGTAGTTTACTAAGTTCTTAAAAATTTGTAATATTAAATACTATGTACTAAATTTTTAATATAGTTTAAAATTTATAGTAATCACTCACCTTAAATATTATTTTAATTGTAAATATATTTATATTCATAATTCTATCATAGGAATTCGCACATAATAATTATTAAATAACAAAAATTTTATATATGAATAAACCTCATATAAGGTATATTTTTATAACATATTTTCCGTGCATCGCACGGGACAAATACTAGTATCTATTATAATATGATGATAAAGTTCAATTGTATTTTGATACATGTTAATTTTAATATAATGCAAGTTTATTTTAATGTACTACGGAGTATTCAAAAATAAACTTTGTATTAGTAATTCACTTTACAATATCAACACACGATGCACGGTATAATTTGGCACTGACTAATTGCCTCATCATCCCCCCACAAACGTGGTGGCAAATATTTGGACCCGTGAAAAATATGAAATGTAACCAGTAACCACCCAAACAGAATATGGGTTGAAATAAGCATGTATTCGAGTTTCGACAAAACATGAAAACCCCAAACACGATAAGAAGTTTCTCTTTCACTACCGAAACTTAAACGTTTCAAAGGTACATACTTTTGATGGCACAAGGAATTCACCATAATATGTTTACAAATATTCTAAGTCCTGAGTTCATCTTCAAGGTAATTGTACTCGAATTTGAAGTCCGTCTTTATCCGCTGGCACCTGCTCGGCAGCAAGGAAGCAAAATGTTATAACATTTTAATGACTTGATGATAGATATAAAATCGGGCAAGGCTAAATACTGTGCCATATAAGAGGGGGGAAGGTGAGTGTTTTAACTTGAATCAAATTCATCAAGACATTAGCACAAGCACAAGTAAGAGAAACTATACCATCCCCCAACATGTTCATCGTTGGACATATGGAAATCAAAGTAAACATATGTCCCCTGCTCATAATCATCGGTAGTTAATTTTGGCTCCTCATGCCGCTGAAACCAAGTGTTGTACATTCTGTGATATCTCCAAGCTTGTTTCTTCAGCTCCTTAGCAGCAAGGTATTGTTGATAAGTATTCTGCAGCATTAAAATAGAACAGTATCACACAACCTGACCACTAAAACATAGCATGCATAGGAACTAACATCAAATTCCAAAAGCACCTGTTGATAGTAAAATGAATAGAATAAGGTGTCAGTGCCATAGCCATCGGCTCCAAGTCGTTCCCAAAAGGCGGGATTGTTAAGAATGGGCGCCTGAACTTGGGGATAGCTTGGAGGGCACACCACTGGATGTTTCTGTCAGGAGTCAGAGGAAACATAACACTTCAATGACATGCATTTGTTAGTTCTGTAGCAGATACAGGATGATGATCATGAACATACCGGTGTATAGCTCTTAGCACGCTCAGAATCCTTCGGTTGAGGAAGTTTGTGAAAAGCAGCCTCAAGCATTTGCAAGCTGTACAACTGGTCATACATTCCTCCAGAATTGGAAGGTGATGAACTTAAGTTATCACCAATTGCTCCAAGATCTGCAACACTTCTTCGACCAATGACTCCAAGGCTTCCTGATGGTTGATTCAATTGTAACGGTTGACCAGGAGAGAGATCTGTATCCCTCGGCAGTTGGGGTTGCTCTGCAAGAGGGCTGGCCACTCCACCCTGCAACAGAATTTTTTTGAACAAGTTAAAGAGAAGATGTATTCTTTTAAAAGATAAACGCAAATTTACATTACCTACTTTTATGTTATCAGACAACTCTTGGCATGCAAAGTTCTTAAAAGCCAAATTTTAAGCTTTCCAGTTTGACCTCTGGTTTATATTACAAAATGTCTTACCACTTGACATCAAAGCAACCAAATATCAAACTTTGGGTTTCAGGGGTTACCATTGAGGTCAAACTGATGGATTAATTCTTCAAATTGTTAAAACATGCCTTCTCAACTAAACTGATGTTCATGCACTTCATAAATTCAATACAAGGATATATGAGAAGCCTCTCTTTCTGTTTTGTTTGGGGGGTTAGGGATGGAGGATCAAAGACCATTTATTAGTTAAATGACAACAAGGGAGTTCGGCTCTCATTTCACAGTCCACCATATGGTCCTTAAAGTCATCTCCTGCTAGTACCAATGGATTAGCTTGCAAAAATTTACTTTTCTTGAAATGATACAAGCCCAGAGAAAATTCCCCCACATAGCTTACTGATCAAAGGTATAATAAAACAGAAGAACCACTAAATAATAGATTAGCAACTTATCCAGAAGCAAAGAAAATCAATTAAACAAGAAGAAAAAAAGAAAAATAATCTAGCACACTAGTAGTTCTCACTTGGTAAATACAGCGTATAAAACATATAGACACTAAGCTTACAGGTGTTTCTAATGCATTAGCCTTCAAATCATCCTCATTCTTTCCAGGACCAGGTGATGGAGCAGAAGCCACCAAATCTTCAGGAAGGGCTTGCTGTTGCTGCAATTCTTCCACTTTTGAGTGGCTCATGTCTGCATTGATGTACAAACAACCTTAGCTCACTACAAACCATGTAAGGGAAATGTTGAGGTAGGCTTACTACAATTATCATAGCTTTCAAATGTCATAGCATATAGTACTACCATGAATTTAATATCAAGAAACTAGTTCTCAAGGTATGGAAATCAAATCCTTGAATATTTACATCCCATTTTTAATTACTCATCTCCCCTTGGCATGTCCCACAATAATTACACCGTGAAAACTCAAAGCAAATTACTAATCCGTTTTATGGAGTACCATATAACACACCTTGTATCTTTAAATTACCAACAAAGGCAATTGTGCAGCTCAAAAATAATTACTTGCTGGGGCAAACATTTAAGGTAACACTAACAATCATAAAACATGTATTCAGTTTCAAGAAAGAAATATTAAACCACATTGTAAGATTGTAAGATCAAAAAGTAATGCATTTATGCTTTAATGTATGATGAATCTTCCAAGAAGTGCCATTGTCTTTTTGAATTTTTGTTAATCCTTTAATCCATCTTTTATTAGCCACATTCATTTCCAGGTTTTCCAAGATGTCCTTTAACATTAAACAAGATTGGAGCTGTAAATGTACTGAATGACATTTCCTTCAACTAGTGCCGGCCTGCCTGGTCAAAGCCTCAAAAGGGCCAATAAAAAAGTGATGGAGGCAGTACAAAACTAACTGAAAGCACAAATTGCTCTTCCTAAAACTTATTTGTGGAGTAAAATCCATCCTTGAAATTTGTGTTTTTTCTTATGACAGGTGCATTGCATTAATGGTTTTTAACCCCTAAGCTTTGTTTTTGTTGAAATTGATGAATTGAAGGCCTAGAAGGTGGCAAATACCCACCGCTCGCCTGTTAAGCAGGAGCAAAAATATGTGAAAATCAAAGCAAACAAGACTATTAATTGTATTCATAATAATATATTTCTTACATTCTGAGAGGAATACCGAGCTTATATGGGAATATAATGGAC